TATTTTCTTTTATTTGTTTATTTTTCTAATTATTTATTTTTTTGTACTATTTATGGACTTAGTCCCCATTTTGGATAATTATGTATTTATCAATATATGCAGTCATGATACCTACCAACCGCACTGTGTAGTACATTCTCACTCGCATCAATCATATACTCACATCGATATTCACTAACACGTAATCAGGATGGCATCGACATAGTGCACCTCAACTACCAAACGAATGTGAAGGAGATTGGAACACTGTTCACCATACAGGTGCATTCTACTTGGAAAAGCTTGCACAAACACACCGTGCTATGAACCGACAATCTAATTTTTTTGTTGTGTGTAGGTACCAGTGTCGGGTAAAACGTACATATGGGTAAATGTATTTATGGCCTACCCATGAGCATAGCACAATTGGCAAAAGCAGAAACCATACATTGTATAATTTTAATGATTGCGTGGATTGCTTGTACATGGACACTACTGTTTATGAACCCTCACACCACCGTTGAGACTATTTTCGAACGTGGTTTAGAGTGTGTTTTCCTTGAGAATTGACATTGAATAGTGTTTAAAAGGGACTTACGAGGTCTTGAATAGATCTGAAAAGAGAATTGATATATTTGAACTGTCTCGATGCAATCGAAAGCTGGGCTTCTAACGTCACACGAACGCGTGCCTCATTGGTTTTCTACGCTTCTACAGTGGTAAGACACCCGGTAGACTTGGCGTACATAACTACTAACGTAATATCTGTTGTAGATTTCCGTGTTGGGTATTTATGGCAAGTTTTATGTGCACACACACAAACACACATGAGATCAAAGTAAATGTATATGAAACATATAGGGAACATCTTCACCTAGACCTCGCATTCTACATGAGGTGCACAACCCCAACGACGACAAATGATGATGCAGGAGTGACATTGTGTATTGAACATTTTTGAGGTTTGGAATCCATTTCGAGAGTGATAAGGTGGTGTCACATGATTGAGTACCTTTGTGTGTGTTATACATGTTATATATGTAACTGCTTAGCTGTATCGGTACCATATATTGAGTACCCTTGTATACACTATATGTTAAATATGTAACTAAATAACTGTATTGGTAGCATATGATTGTCGACCGTGGAGTATATTACATATGTTCTGTATCTAACTGAGTACCTTTGTATACGTTAGATAGTTTTGATATGTATCTGTATAGCTGTAGTGGTAGCATATGATGATGCATACTTCGGGAGCCGTATATAAAGCTGCTCATTAAAACTACCTACCTATAGACACCATACGTTTTTCACAAGATTGTGTGCTGAATATATATATGACCCAACTGTATTCTGCTGTGTATTTCAACGGATACTTTGGGTTTTCTAATATCGACATGATTTTTATACAGAAACAAGCAACGGGTAGGCGAGAGTTGCATACTTCGCAAATTTACGCACAGGAGGATTCTATTGATACATATACTAGACAGCAACGAATCTTCTCATATACATGCCTATCCACAAGCAATGTATTGTCAACATAACGACCAAATCATAGAGAATACACAATCGTCTATACTTGCGGTACCACAAGCCTATGCACCACACAGGTGGGCAAGAGATGTAATTGCAAATTCAAACATAGGGAAACATTTCGCCTAGGCTATATACGAACTTATAGTCATGCACACATCATACCATAGCCATGCATACCTACTACCATAGCCAATGCATGCCTATAATACCATAAACCTATGCACCATAAACCTATACACCATACAGGTGGGCGAAAGACATAGTCGCACGCTCAATCAGAGGGGCCTGTACAGATACATGGACTGGACGCTGACAGATCTTCTGTCCGTTTTGGCAAAGATCAAATCCGCTGCGTTCATGAAAGACCCGAATTTAAGGACAATGATCCGAAATGCAGAAGCCTTGCTCAGCTCACTACCCGGCGTAAACTGCCGAGAGGCGGTATGTATTTGGGGGAGTATATGTAGATTTGGATCAGATTCCGCAATCCAATGTGTGCATAGGTGTGTTGTTTAGCCTTGCACCTGTAGATATGCTGTAATAGTTAATGCTGGTTTGAACTCGAGTTTATCAAAGCGGCGAGGCATCGCTCAGCTCATTCGTTGGTGTTTTTCTGCCAACAGCTGTAGGCTGTGATGCGTTTCGTGTATACCCTGTGCATCCCAATCTACCACGAGTTCACAAAGAACTTTTTGATCAAATACATGCTAATAACTAGATATATATTTACATGCTAATAACTATATATATTAAATTTTTATTTTTGCTTGTTGGCTCACGATGTTAAGGATATTTGCCGTTCACCCAGTGACAATGACAATGACAATAGCATTTTGATTTTTGTTCATTCATCTTGCGCCATCCACTAATACTATCAGGATATCCCGGACATTGACTCGAAGCACACGAACCGATTGAACGCTATACTCTCGTTGCTGGAGGTAAGATCGTTGTATTGTTTGTCTAAGCGAATGCGGTTACTGAACTTTCACTTACAGTTACTGGAGATATGATGTAGTTATATTGTATGTCTATCCAGGTGCGGTTTTAAACTTCTTACATATTACATGTATCATACAAGCTGCACCTTATTCCGATCCATGCATATTTTTACGCTCACTTATGCTGCAGGTATTTGTCCTTATTGCTCACCTATCACAGCCTTATTTCAAACCTACTCATAGTTTTACGCTCACTTTTGCTGCAGAAATTTGTCCTGAGCTACTGCCAAACTTTAGGCAACAATGCCAATATACGTGGTGAACTGATCCGATCTCTAGGGTCCATCAGGGTATGTCACGAATACTGTTCCCGATTTTGCAAAGGTGTATGCATTGTATAACCCTGTGGTTGCGATTATGTTTTTAAATACTTGGTTCGTTTTGCAAGTGCAGTTTTTTCTTTCAATGCGCAGTACGACTATCCGCATTGAATTTTTCTAGATGTTCCAATTTCGTTTGCTATCTTAGTTTTTTGGATAGACTGCATAATTGGATATACCTTGAGTATGGTTAAAACGTGTGCAATTCCACAATACCAATATGAACAGGAAATTGACGTGTCTAGATTCTATTCTAAAGAATGCCCAAGTCAAATTATATTTCCAAATTCAAAAAAGGCCACCTAGTTTCAGCTTTGTATCTTTTTTTAATGGTTGTGTAAAGTGAGGTGTCCGTGTCGTGCATAGAAAAACAGCTATGTCCCAAACCTAAAATCCGAAAGCCCTTAACACAATTTCGGTTGTTGGCCATATACGCAACGAGATAGTCCAATTTCCAGGGTTCAGTAGGGCTATGTCATAGAGTTGATCCACGCACTAATATAACAATCTGACTCAAATTCTACAGCTACGGGAGTGATATCTGATATATTTTCTGAGGTTCTGTGATCTTCATTAATTCTTCAGTCTTGCGACCAATTTTTTTTATTGTAGGCCCTGGCACAGCTGTTGAAGGCGCATATCAGTAACGACGGCTCCATATCCCGAATTCAAGAACTCATATTATTAGGACTGCTAGGTATGTTTTTTAGATCAGACCGATTTGTTTTGCAACACGCATGTCGAAACCCCAACACACGCTTTCACTGCTTAGAGCATTACAAAACGTAATATAACTACCCCACTACTCCTTGTGCAACAACTTGTCCAATGAAAATCGTTCCAAAATTAGAGGAACAACCCGTAGTAGAAAGAGGATTTATATAAAATTGAACTTGTGCTACAAATTGGCCAATCAATATCCTTCCAGTTTTAGAGGAACATATCCTAGTAGAATAGGATTACATTTAAATAACAAATAGCCGTATCGGTAAAAGTCCTAGCCCGGATTTCAACGACAATACTCGACAGGTCCATTTTCTCAACAATCCTCTTAGTGTGTGCTCCCTTGCTTCTCTATCCGTCAGGCATACATAACAATTAGTGGCCTATAAGTAATGAATAAATCTTCTGAGTGTTTATATATATTCCTATTGCTATATTTTTACTATTCACTTATAGTGACAACTGCTTCTGTTTCTCGACAATTCTTGCCCTTTATTCTTAAAAACATCTGCATTTGCCACTTGACATGCCCGCAGATTGTGCGCTTAATGTGCTCTCGGCGGTGAATTGCAAATCAGGCTGCGACAGAACGGTGAGTCTATGTTACACGGGCGAGTTTTTCAAATTAAGATTTTTGTCCCTATTCTTCTACCAAAACATGTTAAATTGCATGCATGTTATGTGCTGTGCATATAAGTGCCGTTCGTGAGGATTTTATGTTTATGTATTGGGAAGAATTTACTTCCACTACTCAATAGTCTGAAATTGTCATGGAGATGAGAGGTAGTGATTTAATTTCTAGAGTACGTCAATAAATGTGTATTATAAATCTAAATGAGTATATTATCTATTATGTTTATTCCCTGGTAGTCGCGCATGTAGCGATGCATGTTTGATTTCATATCATTTGAGTTTTTACAGCTTGTGTATACTGCTATTTATATGCGATTTACTCTCGATGGCTACCCATGATACGAAGCAGGAACAACTCATTCTTTTATGAGGGTGATCACAAACGTAATGCGTATGCATCTATATATATGTGTGTGTGTGTGTGTGTGTGTGTGTGTGTGTGTACAATTCTACGTATATACATATA